GGGCGTTGTTCACTCGTTGTTTACGCGTTGTTCGCAGATCATCACGAGCGGCGGCGTGACGTACAAGAGCGAGCCGTGGCACCGCGAGTGCTTCATGTGCACGAACTGCAACGCGCTGCTCGCCGGCCAGCGCTTCACGTCGCGCGTTGTTCGCCCGTTGTTCGTTCGTTCATTCACGCGTTGTTCGCAGATCATCACGAGCGGCGGCGTGACGTACAAGAGCGAGCCGTGGCACCGCGAGTGCTTCATGTGCACGAACTGCAACGCGCTGCTCGCCGGCCAGCGCTTCACGTCTCGCGACGACCGGCCGTACTGCGCGACCTGCTTCACCGACCTGTTTGCGAAACGCTGCGACGCCTGCTCGAAGCCGATCATAGGTGAGCGCGCGCCGCCAGGGGGCGCTTGGGGGGAGCGGCGGGGTCGCGAAACGCTGCGACGCCTGCTCGAAGCCGATCATAGGTGAGCGCGCGCCGCCAGGGGGCGCTGGGGGGGAGCGGCGGGGTCGCGAAACGCTGCGACGCTTGCTCGAAGCCGATCATAGGTGAGCGTGCGCCGCCAGGGTGCGCTGGGGGCGTGTGGGGTTGGGATGGGCGAGGGAGGGTGGGCTGGGATGGGCGAGGAGGGTGGGTTGGGATACTCAAAGCCGTTTGTCAATGAGCGCGCTGCCAGGGGTCGCTGGGGGGAGCGGTTATGGAGGGTGGGGTTGGGAGGGGCGAGGGAGGGTGGGGTTGGGAGGGGCGAGGGAGGGTGGGGTTATCATATAGAGCTGATGATCGGTATCTATCTACCTAGCACTCTGTCTTTATATTTATATATCTTTATGCCTCCACATCTCTACATCTCTACATCTCTACATCTCTACATCTCTACATCTCTACATCTCTACATCTCTACATCTCTACATCTCTACATCTCTACATCTCTACATCTCTACATCTCTACATCTCTACATCTCTACATCTCTACATCTCTACATCTCTACATCTCTACATCTCTCCATCTCTACATCTCTA